CATGAAGCAACGCATAGTGAAGACCGTCCTTTCAAATGCGATATTTGCAATAAGAGTTATAAACGGAAAGATCATTTAAAAACGCATTACGAAACTCATACTGATGAACGTAACTATGTTTGTCAGGTATGTAACAAACGATTTAAAAGAAAACAGTATTTGGCACGTCATAAAGTAGTTCATAATAACCAATTTAACCATACTTGTAAAATATGTAACAAAAGTTTTAAAAGCAGTATTTATTTAAATTTTCATATTCGTATACACAGCAACGAATACAAATATTCTTGTGACATATGTAACAAACGTTTTAAAACAAAACACTATTTAACATATCATAAAATTGTTCATAATAATCAATTTGATTATACTTGTCAAGTATGTAATAGAATTTTTAAACGCAGTTCTAGTTTAAAACAGCATATTCGTAAGTACAGCAATAAGTGCAAATATTCTTGTCATATGTGTAACAAATATTTTAAGACAAAACATTGTTTGGAACAGCATAACATTATTCATAGCGATACAAAAAAGTATGTTTGTGACATATGTAAAAAAGATTACACCAATACAGCTGCCTTAAAAAGACATCGTCTCACTAAACATGAGAATATGTATGTATGCTATGTTTGTAACAAGCCATTCAAGACTGAAACCACGCTAAAAGAACATTCGAAAATTCACATTGAAAAGTGTAATATTTGTAATCAAGAATTTAAAAGTAAAAGCACTTTAATTAATCACCAGAAAATTCATTAAGACGAAAAACCGTTTCGTTGTAAAAAATTCATTTGACGTTTTACCAAAAAACACGTATTAAAATATTTCACGAAGCCACTCGCAACGAAGACAATCTTCATTACGTTTGTGAAGTGTGTAACAAGGTATTTTATTAATATTTTAAAAGTTGTTTCGTTAACTCGTTCGTCAGAATTAAGCGTATTTTTGCAGAAATGGTGAAAGCAGATTTAAAACAGAAACTCAACTGAAATTGCATTTAAAATTTTGATGTATAGAAAGACACCGCAAACAATTACTTTTTCAATGTAATACATGTGAACAGACTTCTACGTGTCGGGAGGTTTTAGAGCAGTGATTCTTCGAAATAATTTACATATTTTAAAATAATTATTATATTTACTTTGTATTAATATAATAAATGTACTAGTAGATATGAAACAACGGACTTTTCCTTATTTTTATTATTAATTTTAAGTATAACGTGTATTAAAGATACTTAACATTAAGAACACAAATACTTTAGTATAAAGGGAAATAAATGTATTGTGTATGTAATCTCTAAAGAAAGATGTCAAGACTGTAATTAAGCATTTCTGGCAAATAATCAATTATTTGTGGAAATTTTCTGATGAAAAAATAATTTAGTTAATCTATTGATTACAATCTGACAATGTCAGTATTGTTTAATTTAAACTTAATGTATAATTAAAAGTATTAACATCATTAAAATATTTTAATACGTACTCTATACTACGTGTTTATTTTTATCTTTTTGTTTTGTTTTTTACTAGTTGTTTTAATACAGTATTAAAATAAATATATTCACGTGTACTCTATACTACGTGTTTATGTTTATCTTTTTGTTTTGTTTTTTACTAATTGTTTTAATACAGTATTAAAATAAATATATTCATATGCACAATCGTTATTTCTTCATTTCTTATATTCCAACTACAAATATCTGTAATTAGTAATAATATAAATATAAAAGAATAAATTTAACCCAAACATTCGTAACGTCATAAAGACAGGACGCTATAAGAATTCTATGGCGGGGCCTTCTAAATCAAATTTTCTCTGTTCGCATGAAATTATAACGCGACACTCTTTATTTGTCTGTATTAACGATTCCAATAGGGCAATCGACTCAATTGTATTATTCATAATTATTCATAGTGATCCAGATTTAAAAATCGTTTATATTCGCTGTAATTTTTTATTATATTTTTATTTAAAAAGTCACGAGACTACGCTTAATTGGGCCTCCTAATGATAAATTTCCGATTTTCACGTACGTAACTCTGTTCTCGATATTAAAGAAAGACAGTCAAGCAGACTGTGTATAACGAAATTCTACAGATTTAAAATTTTAGCCCAGTTAGTAACACAAGTGAAGTCAGATAACTGCTGCAAATGATAACCAATCAATAATAAATAAAATTAAATAAATCTAAATCTAATGACGTGATAAAGGGTCCTGGAGACACTGTCTCACTAATTACTAGTGACTAATGACCAGAAGTTCATTGGAAGGAGCCGTTCTGTAGGTTTTGCATATCCTGATGGTGAATTTTCTCTGGGTGGAGGCAAGCTTGCGGCGAATATGTTGTTTATTAAGCGCCTGTTGCCAAACTGGTGTTATCACACTTTAACAGAAAAGGAAGTTTCTCATCTAATTTCGTATGCTTTACAAATATAACAAAATTTTGTTAAAAGTAAATTACGAACTTTGGATTTTCGCTAAATATTAATACTGCATTAATTGTACTTTAGTTAATTGTAACTCTATTTTTTCCACATAACTATGAAACTTATTTTACTGTTGTTTCGCAGAAAAGATAATCAAATTTAAATTTATTTTCATGTTTTATTCGTAATTTAATTCATTTATTTTATAAATTTTCCTTTTTTTTATTTCTATTTTGTTTTTTAATTTTAACGTTTAATTATCAGGTTACCTATAATAGTATAAAGTAAACCAGAAAGTTTTCAGATTTAAAAAATGTGATTAAATAGGCATATTTCATTTTTAGTTTCTTAATATCAACATTAATAAATGCGTTTAAAAGTGCCCTAACTAGCCATTCCTGTGTCCTGTGCAGGAATTTGCATTTAGGCCCCTTAATTAATAAGGTTTGGGAAAGTAATAAAACAAATACATGCATGTTGGGCTCCTCTTGCAAGTGAACCTTGTGCGGGTGCACCTGTCGCACCTACCTAGTTACGGCACTGGTATTAACTATATAACACTTGATTTTATAGCTGAAAAGTGTCGGGTGTGCTGGAAACGTGTCACCACTGGAGTTTCTTCCGTTAAATTTGTCCTACTAGAACAACCCCTCTGTCGACCCACTACTGTTGCCATGGCAACACGTCTTGGAGTAGGACCAGTCCAACCAGTCGGCCATAGTACGAAAGAACCCTAACAAAGACAGGCAAGTAAACTCACTGTTTTTCTTCTCGTTGTAGCAGTAAAAAAAAAGGTGCACAATCAAAGTTAATAGAAGTCAACAGGTAGCGCGTCACCAACTCACGTCATAGTTCGTAGCTACGAAACCCACGTGATATATGATAAACAAATATTGTTCCTAGAATCCACCTCGTTTTTATGACTCGTCTGGCAAAGCCCTTTTTCTTAGGTCTTCAGATATTTTGTTCATCCACGTTTTCCTGCGTCTACTATAGGTCTTCTCCCCTTNTAAATCTAATGGCATGATAAAGGGTCCTGGAGACACTGTCTCACTAATTACTAGTGACTAATGACCAGAAGTTCATTGGAAGGAGCCGTTCTGTAGGTTTTGCATATCCTGATGGTGAATTTTCTCTGGGTGAAGGCAAGCTTGCGGCGAATATGTTGTTTATTAAGCGCCTCTTGCCACACCGGGACAGCATACTGTTTCATAGTTTTTATATGTAGACAATGGATCCTTTCGGGTTCGACTGACATATCTTGCATTAAAATCGTAACATTTTTCCTCGCAGTCAGACAAAGTTTATTTTAAAATTTTAGAAAAAGTAATGTAAACGTAGAAAGTAGCGCAACTCGTTGCTGGTTTATCCTACAGTCGAATTTCCCTTTCGAATGGGGACAGAGAGAGAGAGAGAGAGTTTACATAATAACTTAAATATAATATACCTTTTAATGTTTTCACAATTATTTTGTAAATCGGCGATATTTCTCTTCGTCTTCGAATTATTTCTCTTGGAATGTTGAACTGATTAGCACAGAGAAGTTGACCCTATCGCCCCCCTTTGAGTGGCGAGTAAATGTAGAAAAGCGAAAAGAGGCAAGGGGAAATGAAGGTTGGGTACTGAATGGTGACCGTAAGCAAAAGTTGTGGTTACTGACAACTTTTCCCTTTCCTGTATTAAAACGGGTGTAAAGAAACATTCACTTTAATGGTTTCAGCATTTGGAGAACAATGTACGGTAAAGATATAAAGTGTGAGTTTGTTTAAAAAGTTTTTCTAACAATATTTCCGTGCCTTGTTCATACAAGAAAGAATGAATTAGCGGACAATTAGGTACTTGGGTATAACTTGACATTGATTGGTGCAAAATCTCACACTTGAACAATCGAATCTGAAGGAACTGGTGTTATCACACTTTAAAAGAAAAGAAAGTTCCTAATCCAATTTCGTATGTTTTATAAATAGAATATCGAACAAATATAACAAAATTTTGTTAAAAGTAAACTATGAGCTTTGGATTCTCGCTGAAATTAATACTGCATTAACTGTGCTTTTAATTAATTGTAACTCTTTTTTTCCCACATAACTATGAAAATTATTTTACTGTTGTTTCGCAGAAAAGATAATCAAATTTAAATTTATTTTCATTTTTTTTCTTCGTTAATATCGGACAACAAANGTATCTTTAGTTGAGTTGGACTTAATGACGAGTTTACTCATTTTCTCATTTACAATTTTTTTTTATAAAACTCATTTATACCTTGAAAATTAAGTTTTTACTAAAAAATATTTTAAATAAAATATCATAAGAGATGGCGCCACACGTAGTTTTAAGAGTTTCCGGAAAAGTTAAGCACTCGTTGCTGGTTTATTTAATAACGAAAACAAGTTTGTAATCATATTTATTATAATTTCTATCGCACATCACACCATTTCTCCGTGACTCAGGTAGTTTCGACTTGTGATCGGAATTAATTGACGTAGTGAAACACGTAATTTAATCTTATTATGTTAATTAATGAAAATATGCTGTTTTATTTTATATTTTAAGATTATCCTTTAACACAGAATGTTTGTAAATTCCACTACAGATATAAAGAAAGAAGTAAAAGAGAATTGTGATGTAAAACATGGTATAAAAGCAGAATGTAAAGTTGTTTTGAAAAAATTGAAGATCGAAGTAAAGCCTGAAGATTATAAAGAAGTTGTCCGTCTTCCAGATGATAATGAACAGGTAATGATAAGTAATACAAATTACCGTGAGATTTTAATATTAACTTAACTTTCTGAATGGTTGAAAACGTAGCTCAATATCACTAATATAATATTATGCTTTGAATTTAGGTGTATTCTGTATTAAATAAAAACATGTATTATATAAGAAAAAAATCTAACAACGAGTTGCGTAAGTTTCCTGGCTGTTAAGAGAATGTTTTTTAAAAATGACATATAGCCTATATTATTAATGTTAATAAATAAATAAAATTATCTGTAGCGCCATATGTTATATAAACTCTTTATAATTTTAATTATTATAAAGTGAAGAAATGCTTAATTTTAATTGTGGAAATGCATTTGACAAATGAATTATAAATGTAACCACATATAAAATTTTAATTAAGTCTGATCCCACTCGAGATTTTATACATTATCATTTTATATCTCTCTACCCCTGGATGTTTTATTACGAAAATTTAATAGCACTTTATACACAACGTACGGTACTAAATTTCGTTTCTTAATGTTCAATTTATTCTGCAATATTAAATGAAGAGTCGCCAAAATACACGCCCCCACACACATTTTTTTGCCATGTTTTTTGGGTGTAGAAGATCTGAAAATTTGCAAATCATTTACCAGAATTCAATACTTTACTTTGTTATGCATTCAGAACATCCCTAAAAGTAAAATACGAATTTCAACATTAAATTTATATATGTAAATTATAGTGTTTCAAACTTTTCTCAGTTGGTAGCTTGAGTATTTGTTTTTTGTGCACGATAACTTAGACAATGAACAATGAGGTTTTATTTCAGACCTATCGATGGGATGGTCAGGTCCACAATGGATGCGGCCACATATTGAGGGTTACCCGGCATAAAGGCGGACCTCAGATTTACGAAATCCTTGGCAAAATTTATATTGTGATCCATTAAGACGACGATAGTACAAAATATCAGATTTATTTATTATTTCTAATACTGTGAAGACATTAATTAGATAAAAACAAATTACAACAAATTAATAAACACTGCAATCTCTAATTTTAATTACAGTAGAGCATAGATTATCCGACTCGATTCGGGTTGGTTGGATAACTGAAAAGACGGATAACTGAAAAATATGAAAAAATACATTATTAGTATAGTATATTAGTATATAGCTATTAACCTACTTCGGGTTGAATTTTGATCGATGTTAAGTCTGACAAAAATTTTTTAAAAATAATAATTGTTGCTATTGTATCGTTAAAAATTAGAAAATTAAGCCTTGCTTGCCGACTAGAACGCGGTCGGTTAATCGATGTGACAGTTGATCGAGGGTCGGATAATCGATGCTCTACTGTAGTTGTAAAGTAGCAGTTGATTACAAGAAAATAATATAAACGTTGCGGCCAAAGATTTCATTGCTCAAACGTTAACGTCGAACGCCGCCATCTTGTAATCCTAGAAGTTTGACAAGGGCGTTTGGAAAGTGGCATGTAGAAGTTAGACTTAAACGTTCACTTTCTCTGTGTTTTGTGTTAAATTTATGATGTATTTTATTAAAAATAATGATTATTCAGGCATTTGCGAATAACACTGTAAAGAAACAGACGATTTTAATTCAAAAATTATTTAATTATTTAATTTTTTTGCAAGTAATGTAAAGTGCCTATTGAATTTTTATATATTTGTGTTCATAACAGCTTATCATAATATTGTAGAAGTTTGTTTTTTACTGCATTTTCTGCCATCAACAGCATGACACATTTGTAAATTTCTAAAAATAATTTCCTAAGCTGCTTTCGGATTTATATAAGCCACAACTCTCCTCTGGGCTTTCACTACGCTAAATTACTTTATAAATAACATAGATCTGTAGCAAAATCAGCCTACTTCAATAGTAATATGTTTTTTAATGAGAAAATGGAAAATGAAGAGTCTCGTTCAAAGTATATAAAATCACAGAATAAGGATTTGTAATTTATAAATGTGTAAAGACTTTTCTTTATTACTTTTCCGATTGTTATATATAACAGAGGGAAAGTACGACGATCGGTCAGATAATGACTCCCCATGATATTTACATTTCTAAACTTAGAACAACTTAGAACACCTTCAAACGTCGAAAAATGCAAAAGAAAAAAAAAACGTGGGAAATTGAGGTTATTAAATTTTACTGCTTAAAAAT